TCATCATCATCATCATCATCATCACCACTGTCATCCATCAACATCAGTATTTCAATATTTACTGACCTTCCAAGCCTCCATTTGGTCTCTGCTTGATTTTCTCTTTGTGAGTTGGGTAACCTTAAATGAACAAATAAAATATAGATACATGGCTAAACAATGGTAGATTTATTTGCAGTATAGATCAAGGTGAGTTTGCAATCCATAATCAATAGTCCATGGGACTGATTAAGCAAACACAATGTGATGTGAAAGAGGATGGCATATATGCTGACAATTGGCTTTAAAAATTGCCTCCAACATTGCAACGTTCTTAACAGGACATGAAACCAGGCGAAATGACATCCTGAATGTGACGTCAAGGGCCGTTTTGAAAGCCAATCTTTAGCAAGCGTGCTGTCCTCACATTGTATTTGCTTAATGAGTCTATTGTTTTTCTAATGCAGCGTTCACCAATGATACTACATTAATGAATAATATACCTTCAATTCCCAGTCGTATCTTTTTCAGTCCTCTCTCTTTTAAAACGTCTTTTGCAACATCTCTGTTTTCAAAATACTTGAAAAATCTGTGCAACTGGTTCGAGTATATGACTGAAATGAGAAGAAGAAAAAAACTGTTTGTTTCATTTTAAGTTAATTCCAGGACCTCTCTGAAAATCACCAGAGTTTTCCTGTAGCATATTTAATTATATGTGTAATAAAGTTTGATGCTCAATGAAATGAAAAAATGAAATGATTATGATTTATATAGCGCCCTTTTATATGTGGATATAATCAAAGACGCTTTACATGGAGTTGTGAATGACAGATTGCTTTTTGTGCAATTTACAAGCATGAGAGATGGTTAGTATGAAGTGTAGGCACTGAGGGTGGTACCGGCCAGGGTTTCTTTTTACGTCCTGGTGGTTCTTTTATGTCCCCCATTTACTAGGAAGGGTTGGGAGACAGGGCCTACGGTTTAAAGTCCTTGTCCGAGAAGACTTGAAGGTCTAACCATGTGCAGATATTATTATAAAGGCAGCACCTTCTCCTCAGTTATTTTAAGACTCACAACAGACCGACCCTCTTACCAAATGAGCTCACCGGGTGGCGGTTAATGATATACTTACTTTGATGATATTCTTCTCCCATACTAGGTGGATATTCAATGTCCCAATCCACTACGTCATCCTCTGCCAGGATAACGATGTGACATTCTCTGTTTCCTTTCTGAAACAGTGTAAAAATGTCACTTTTAATCAACGTCTCACAGGAATTTCTTCTTACAGTGTGACTAATACAACCAAGGCCAACCCCAAAAATTTTATATCCAATTCACAAATTACATCCTTGATGATGAATTAAGGAGGCTCTGAGTAGTTTTGGTCTGGCACACCTAGCCACATTGAAACAGCTACAACTTTGTCTTGAATAACTYGATCTGCAAGCACTTTTCACACAATGTCAGGAAAGGATTAAAGGTTTCAAAAATGATAAATTAGTTTAAAGCGGCCTTTTCATTATGACGTAATGATGACACCATAGAAATCGTTTACCGCTTATTTTCTCGAAAACTAGACCTTAACTTTCAAAGCGACTTGACCAGTCGATAGTATTCATCAAGGCACCCAACATATTGCAATATGAAAAAAATGTATGAGAGCATAATTTTCCTTTCTCCTTAAACAGGGATGTGACAAATTCTGGAGTTTAAAGTGTTCTCGTTCTCTTCTGATCATACAGACACACACAGGTTTTATTATAATAAAGTAAATATAGTAAAATATAATATGTTTTATTAATGCTTTTAAGGTGGCTGCCTACTTTTGAAYGTTCGAATTGAGCCCATGATGAGCGCGCGCTCAAAAACCGCTGAAAAATCTACAAGATTTTATTGAAGAACCATGCGCGTTTTGAGCTTCAACAGGGCAAAACCCTCAAATTTTGCACAGGACTCTATTTTTTAATAGCTCATTTGAAAAAACTCCTAAAAATCTAGGTTATATCAACATTTTAGAAAAAGTTTAAATCGGTAACACATGAAAAAATAGATTTTTGTAGGGATTTTTGTTCGACTTTATCAGATTTTTTAAGAGCACCGAAACTACAAAATATGACAAATCGATGTATTTTTTTGTATTTTTGTCGAAAATATCCATGTATTATTGTAGAATGATTGACTAGCCTTCATTTGTGCAATCATAGAGTCTGCAAATAACTATTATCTTATGAATCTTAATTTTTTCTTATCACTTCCGGTGGCGCAATTTTTACTCCAAAAGGCTTCCATTAAATGCTGATTATCTAGAAAACAAGCTWGGGACACCCAAGTTTTCTTTCCAGATTTGGAATCAGCATCAAATTTCTATTTGGAAAATGGAAGTTTTAAAAAAGGGTTTAAATCAATTTCCAAAAGTAGGCAGTCAGCTTAAAGGAAAGATTTTTGTGCAGATTCTATTGTTTAAATACTTGATTGTACTGGCTATTTTGTACGAAAATTTGTCTGGATGGCCTTGATTGGTAAGAACTATTGAAATACAACTTACTATGCGCAAGGAAGAAGTCAATAATTAAAGAACTGATGTATAGAATTCTAACCTTAGCAGCATTAATCATGACAGGCAAGATGAACTCCTCAAGAAATTCTTGAAACTGGCCTTTGGCTCCATCATTTGAAAGTTCGTGAAGCAATTCCCCTGGGAGAAAGAGAAAAATATAAGGTAAAAAATTGGAATATTTTAATCTCTTATTTCCACCCAATAACAACTTTATTTCATTTCTGTGAATCAAATGAAATACTACGATTTACAGTTCTGTTCAGTGACCATGAATAATAATTCCAAGCCGAGGCCTTCATCAGAGTAAAAGACGAAGGACTAGCGTCCAAAATGTCATGGTGTATAATTTACTTTTTTATCATTATTGTTTCATTAGAAACACTGACGCAGCTCACACTAGTTTTTAGCTAGTTATCTCTACTGAGTTAGTGGTATATTGAAAATTGCAGTAAGCTTAACCATAGTTTTACGTCTTACTTAGGTTCTGGCACTTGATAACATGAGCATTGAATGGGATAAGCAGGTAGTCACAGGCTTCTCTTAGCTCAGGAATAGAGATACTGGGAGGGCAGTTAATAGTTCCCATTTTGTAATAATCCTAATGAAAAAATAGACATTAGAAATTTATTACTGTATATTAACTGACATATTCATTAAATAAGTAAGGATCGAGGGAAACATTGTGATGAGCGATAATTATTAAGGGTAATTAGACCTCATCTTGATAGACAGATAATGACATCTCAGTGGTGATGTTGAAGTGTCGATCACTATTATCGCTCATTTTTCTATTTATAACATATACATCAAAAGATAATACAGTTATCTCTTTCTATTTCTCCAATAACTTTACATTGTTATTTTTATTCTTTACTTACCAGAATGCATTTGAAGACACTTGCCGATATACCATGAGCAACTTCAAACTCTCCCTTTTCATTCCTTGTGGTGTAGTCATTTGCTGAACCAAACATCCTAGAAAAAAAGACAAAAATTTAATTCAGGCTTAAAATAACGCGGGCTGATCAGACATGGGTTATGATGACTGGCTAGTTAGTTTTAATAGCTTAGTCCTACCTTATTTCTGGCTAAATGTTACTGGTCAAAATGACCAGCCAGGCAATTAAAGACTTCACAGGACAAGTCTTAGTTCTGGCCAGACAAATGTCTAATGTCTGTCTATTATCTTAAATGCTTATGAGCCCTTCACACAATATTTTCAGAATTGATTCTTTAAATAGTGAATAGTTGATTGTGAAAATAATTTGTCATTTGAATGTCGGGTCTTTGAGATACGAAGGTTTATATTTCCAATATGTTAATGACTATGACGTAACATAAGGGATTTGAGTTATTTTGTGGCAACTTTTGATATTGAACGCTGGACATTTTTTGAAAACAAATTTGTTAGAACCTTTACGTGAGTCACGAGTAAAAGGGTGAAGCTTTTTAAAACACTGTATTCCAGAACGAGTGCATAGTTGTATATTAAATGATTCCTTATGTTACGTCAAGCACAAAAATTGCTAAAGATAAAATTATTCAATTTATTTAAAATCGAAGACATAATATTGTTAACAATTGATTATCATATATAGCAACAAAATATTAATCTATAATTTGATTAAGTGGAAGAAGAGACAGTCTGTGGAATCCACTGTTAATCCCATTATTATTATTATTATTGTTATTATTATTATTACTATCTTAATTATAGTAGCCAGTTGTAAATTACCTGTTTTAAAGAGAGATTTGCAATCGCATATATAGTCAACAAATATTAAAAACAAAGCTTCCATTATTATTACTATTATCATTTTAATCATTACCTAACGAAGCACTTGGTATTGCATGACATACAGCCAATATACCCGCCAAGGATATATTACCAAATGTCGCAGTGAAGCAAATATATGTATTAAAGTAAGAGCTCAAGTCATATTAAAAATTTTAAAGCAAAAATCAAAATAACTGAATTTTGTAGTTTACCAGAGTTTTTAAGTTGTTTAGGTTACAGCACAACCACAATAAAGTTCTGAAAAATATTTTCCCTATGAAATGCAAGACCTAGTAAAAATATTTATATAAGCCTTTTTATTAATATCGAATAGTGTAATATGAGCTTGTTTTTATCCATAAAATTTTGTAAATGAATTTTTACACAATGGGTGACACATAGAAAAGTTAATATTTATAAATAAATAATTGTTTTATGATTTTACTGATAAGCATTGTTTGAAGTTTTAATAATTGTCTAGATTGAAAGGATTCTTTTAAAATAGCTTAAAGACGTAAAAATCAGCTGAGAAAATGTGCTTAAATTTGTGCTTAAAAAGGTATCTCTTACCTTCCAAGCATTGTATTTGGATGTGCGACAAAAAGCGATCTTTCCACGACAAATCTAGTACCATCAACAATCAAAGTCAGTTTATCCATATTATTAGGCCTTGGTTTAGTAATCAGAGGATTTATAAAACGAGGACTGCTTATTTGGTTGAAAACTTCCGAGCTTCTTTTCAAACAGCCTGCGCTTGGACAAGGTGGACGTTCCTCGCTTCTCGACCGATGTTTCAAAGCAGAATGCGGTGGATCACTTAAAGCTCTGATGTGTCGTCCAGGGATATCTCTGGGTGGAATATCTAATGGGATATTCCCTGCTAACGCCAATGCTTCTACTTCACCATCACTAGAATCATTGTCGTTGTTGCCATCTTGGTTCTGTTCGTTGACATTTTCCATATTTTTTCTCGTCAAGCTTCGCCAGCTTTTCTGAATGAAATTGGCCGTTTTTTCGGCACAAAAGTATTGTTTGATATCTTATTAATTGATTAAACGGATTGAAGAAACCAAAAGCTAAGAAAATGGTTGAGAAATTTAATGTTTTTTAGATGTAGCATGGCATGACGTTTAATASTGAGCCTTCTCAATCTCTCAATACAATCGGATCGGAAGTGTTCGGCACGAGAACTCGGAAAAATACGAAGATACCGGAAGTACGTTCGTGCAGAAGCCGTCGATTTGCGCTCGGCTTTGAAAATTTCAAGAAATCGCAATAAAAAAGAAGAAAAAAATAACATAAAAGAGGAGAGAAAACTAAAATGGAAAACAAAATAAAGATGTAATATTATAAGAAAAAGAAAAAGAAATACTAATAAAGTGATTGATGTGATCYGGCATTTAGGTAGGTAAAAGTAGTACTTTGATAAATACACCGTGTAATGTCAATATTTTTCTAGTTTTTAATATTTCTCTAGTATTTAGCGTTCTTAAAACATTTATTTTGGAGGAACTTTATATGGAACTCTTGTCCTGTTGTTTTTTCACTCAACTACTAGTAGTGTCTTTCTTAATTTATAGTTTTAAGCTAATAAATAGAAAATACGATAAAGAGTTTTAAAAATGCTTTCGTTTTCATTTTGGTTGAACCGATTTTTATTCAATACGATGAATACAATAAATTTATTTTAAGAGGAAAACGCAATAACCTTTTAAAGTTTTCACGTTCAATTTATTTGAGGCTAATTTTAAAATTCTAAATATAACTAGATTGCGAAATATTGATGTGACTTTTTTTATTATCTATTTGAGTTAATCTTAAAGCAGCGAGGGGGATTTTTCACACAGATGTCGTGTTTAARAATATCTAGAAACATTCGTGAATGACGATTGGAGTAAATTAATCGTCGGAACACCTTCGGAAGTGCTGCCAATGACGTCGTGGCTACGTCGTTCTAAGTCGTTTCAGCCGAATGATCATCGAGCAGTGACGTAAGGGAATTTAGGAAATTATTATTTCGAATGTGAAAGTTAAAGCAAGAGTCCTCATTTTATAACTCCTGTTCACCGAGAAAATTGTAGTTTTTTTCACTATGGGTGAATACTATGAGATTCTAGGTGTAGCGATAGATTCAACCGAGGATGATATCAAAAAAGCTTATCGAAAACAAGCGCTTCGTTGGCATCCAGACAAAAACCCAGAAGGCAGAGTTTCTGCCGAGGCTAGATTCAAGGAAATTTCAGAGGCTTATGAAGTTCTTTCGAACAAAGAAAAAAGAGATCTTTACGATAAATATGGAAAAGAAGGTCTCAACCCTCAAGGTGCTGGGCGACAAGACGATTTTGGCGCCAGCGGAGTTCGTGTTCACGTTTTCCGTTCACCAGACGACATCTTCCGGGAATTTTTCGGGTTCGATCCTTTCCAAGAATTTTTCTCTTCTCATTTTGAGACCTCTTTTAACCCTGAGCCACAAAGAAGACGTAGATCGAACAGGAGCAGAGGGAGGAATTCATCGCATAATCAATTTTTCTTTGATGACAATAATTCTGCATCAAATATTAGTTTTATTAATTTGGACGATTTGGAAGACGATGATCAAGATGGTTCCTTCCCAAGACAACAGCAACACTTCCACCATCATCATCAGTCCTCAAGCAGACCTCGAAGACACAGACACCGACATTACCACAACACTCCAACTTTTCATGATTCATATTTCGATCCGTTTTCTGGTGTTCGTTCACATAATATGATGTTCAATGATCCCTTTGTACAGATGGAAAGACATATGCAACACATGAATCAAATGATGAGTCAAATGTTTGGTCGATTTTGAAATCAACAGCTGTACTTTCAAATACAATAATGTATTATATTAGATCATCAAAAACTATTTCATCAAAGAAAGCTGCCTTCAAAAGTTATATCTCACGATACTTTCTAGAGAAATCCTTACATTATGAATACTAAAACTTTCTTTCTGGCTGCATATGTACAGCCTTATTTAAGTTATCTGTACAGGAAAGCTAAGATGGTAGCTTGATAGGGAACAAAATCATATCATAATCTGCTTTAATAAGATTATTAGATGTTTAGCTTTTTTGACTTGCTATTTGCTGTAGTTTGCTGTGAAATTTTTTTAGTATTTTCCAAGTTTTTATTTTTGACTCTACAGTAGGTGAAGAATGCAAATTTGGTTAATTATTTGTAGAATATCTGAAGCAGCTGGAGTTAGAATGCTCCTTGAAGGTGGAAGATCTAGTGGAAAAAGACTTATTTGTTGAAGTTATGAAAGCCCATCTAGATATTTTCAAAGGCTTTCCAAGTTAGAGTTTAAAATCAAATGTGAAATTATATATATACAGTGGCTTTTAGCCAGACTGACAATATAACTAGAGTAAATTTGAATAGTAGAGCTAAAAAGTTGAAATTTTTTTGATTGTTATTAGAGTAAAAATTGTTAAAGACAAATGAATGAAAATGTAAATTCATATTATATAAAATAAACAAAAGAAAAAGAGAGAATGATTTTTTTKGGTCAATTTCTTTTAAACCTCTGGCTTAAATAATGCTCAAAAAATTCCAAATTGATAAATTGCTTCTCAGAAGTAAAAAGATGTGTTTATTCTTTGTAATAAAGACCAGAATAAACTAGAAATATCATGCTTGTGAATACAAAAACAGGGTTGTGTCCTCTCGTCAATGATATTAACAGCACTTCAAAAATGACAGCAAGAATATCTTAATACACTTAGGACCAAAAGGAAATATAAGAGTGGTCACTATACCAATATTTCATTCATCTTCAATGTTTTGTGTGGCATTTCATGATCTTGCCCTTGGAATTATATTATTGTCAATAGAGTACTTCAATTTTCGCTTGTGGTATTTTTTTTTTCCTTTCTACAATAGTCTGCTCAAAAAATAGTTTTATTTTGCATTTTTAAGGGTGCAAAAGTGGTTGCACACTTTAAGCAGTTTTAATGGAGTAATGAATTTGATATATCTATAGTGTCGGAGTTTAAAGCTAGTAGTATGGACTATATTCAATTGACCGAAATGTTACAATTTTTACAATTTATTTTTAAATTTCAAAGAAATCAAATTCAATATCAAAGACTTTTTATCATGTATTGGAAGACACATTAAAAATATAACATTTCCAGTGTGAGGCTTTAATGACATTAACCATTCCAAGAACATGGAAAAAACGGTAAGATACTGACAAATTGAAAGATCCTTAGATGTGGCCACAGTTAGGGAGCCCAAAAACACCCATTCTTCCCCGCAGCCGGTTGTTAGTGTTGTCATGCAACGCTCCCTCCCCAATAGTTGGGAACAATAAGAACCGGGGGGGGGGGGTACTCCCCTATATTCGCTATACGGGTACGTGCCGCCAAACAGGGTATGGTTTTCAGCGATTCTTCTCAGGAGCAGGGTATATAAAATTGTGCTCACTCTGGGACAGGGTATATGAGTCACGCTCTCTCCTCTGGAACAGGGTTTTCAGCGATCTGGTTCAGAGGGCTCAGCGGCACATCCATACCCTAAATGAGCAATAGTACCCCCCCCCCCCCAGGAATAAGAATCCTATAATGTTGGCTTTAAGTAAAAAAAATAATGAAAGGTATCTTATTTTTCCATTGGTGTGCCATATTTCATACAAGACAAGACAGTGTATCTTATTGGCTCCGTATAAACATATTTACATTGCATTATATGATTGCTGCCAATAAAAATATATAAAAATTCCATAAACTAAGATATATCATATCTCCCCACCCTACTCCCCTGGGGATATAAATCAGCTAGTACTCAGTCCTCTGACCGTCCTCTACTATAATGGAGGCCTGGTTGGCGCACGTGAACGAGAAGTCTAAAAGATAAACTTTGTTAAAACTTGCTCTAAAAAAACAAAGATTTCTACCTATTTTAGATGTTTTAGTTCTTAAAATGGCCGTTTGTCAGAAGCATTAGGTATCAGAGAAGAAAATGATTCCTTGTTTAGCGTGGGTCAGACGAGGGGTAGCGAAAGAAAACCCAGATAAGGTAGGCAACTCCAGCAGTTTATATCTCTTTTTCACGTTATTATTCATAGGATTAAGACCATATTATCGAGACTAACGTTCAATAAACTGCTAGCATTATTATCAGCACTAGCAGCCAGGATAAGTAAAGCCGCAGCTTCCACGTCAATCTTGATTCTGTTTATTTTTTCCTTAAAAAATTAAGCTTACGCTGTTATAAGCTGTAAAGCAAGCAGTTTTTTGTAATCTTCTTGTTTGTATTTGATTCAGGTCACTTTGTCCAAAGAAGAGTTAAAAGAAGTGATTGATGATGCTCGGGAGAGATTAAGGTGAGCTAAATTAAGTCATGGGTATTTAAGTCTTAGTTTTTTGAAAGCCTTATGGGACTCGTGGCGCCGTGCGAACTGATGATGCTGATGATTACTTTTAGGGGGAGGGGAGGGGAGGGCTGGTGGGGCCATTAGGGTGCATTCTAGGGGTCAAAATGAAAGCATGGTTGCCATGGCGAGAGGCAAGCATAATTATGATCACCACTATACCACCAGTGCTTACATGTACCTGCATATTGTACATGAATCAGAGTTTCAAACATAAGCACGATCAAAGCGACCTTAAACCTATAACTCACAGCTGGTTCCTTATATCAAAGATAAAAGCATCTTGAGTTGATTCTCACACTTTCTAGAGAAAAAAAGGAGGAAAAAGCCCAAGAAAATAATGTAAATTCTGATGGTGCCTCCTCAAAAGAAAAAACAAAAACTGAAAAAAATAATGAAGAAGATGAAGACTTAGAAGAAATATTGAATGAATATGATTTGGGAAATTATGATGACCAAGAAGAGGAAGGTGAGAAAAATGTTTTGATTGGTTGATTACTGCAGTTTTCGATATTCTGCGAACCCAGACATTTCAACAGCTCGTTGTGAAATCAATTTTTCACTGCTGCCAATCAAGAACATTAAAGGTATCTACTGATTATTTTTGATTGGCAGCTGTGAAAAACCAAATTTCAACTTGCGCACAGCTTGCGGCTACCAAGTTTGCAGAATATTTTAAGTGGCAATGGATTGACTGACTAGATGGTTGGTTGTCAGAGTGACTGACAGACTGACCAATTAAGCTTTGAACCAATTGATTGACAGACTGATTTATCGACTGAGTGACAGAATGATTGATCAATTGATTGGCTGATGATTAATTGAATAATTGATCAGTTGTTAGTTGACTGGCTGAGTGGCTGGCTGGCAGAATGATTGACGGAATGAATGGTGAGCTGACTGACTGACTGACTGACTCACTGATTGACTGACTGACTGAATGACCGAATGACTGACTGACTGATTGACTGACTGACTGACTGATTGACCGACTGACCGACTGAATGAATGACCGACTGACCGACTGAGTGAATGACTGACTGACTGACTGACTGACTGACTGGTTGGTTGACTGATTGAACAATCAATTGATTCATTACACAGGAATTCGTATGGAAGGAGCAGGAATGGCTGGCCTATCTTACTACACATCTAATGATGAAGATCCTTATGTTTTGATAAAAGATGAGGTATGCCTTTATTGTGGTAATGGCCTAATAATCACCACTCTCTGTAGGCTGGGGAATGCTATTGTCCCTCTAAGTCCCTCAGAGTCTCAGGCCTGCCACTTTACTGTCATTCTACTTCAACCGTGAACACTCAAGTTTGTCAACCAATCAGATTACGAATCAAAAACAATAGAATTCAAGTTACATGTATTGAAAATCTGTAAAAGCTATTCAAGGAGATGAAATGATGAAAGAGAAAGAAAAAATGAAAGGATATTTACATAGATAAAAAATATAATAAAATAAACTTGAGTGTTCATAGTTAGAGTAGAATGACAGTAAGTCTTGCAGGGACGGATCCAGGGAAGGGGTGCAGAGGGTGCACACTTCTCTCTGGTTCCACTTTGTGCCCCTACTTCAAAGATAACCAATACTGTTTTTTCCCTTTGATTCTAAGGGGTGCACCCCTCCCTTGGTTAACTTTGTGTGCAGCAACCCTCCCTGAATAAAATCCTGGATCCACCACTGTTATACATTACTAGTCTACCATGCTTTCTGATCTTGAATAGACAAGCTGCTCTGCAATACTGAATTTAGGAATTTAGCTAAGGTGAACAAAAAAGCCAAAGATAAGTGTGCACATTTAGTAATGAAAGGATTTTAACTTTGTTTATGTTTTTTGTTCAGCTCGATGAAGATAAAGATGACTTCACAATCACAAGTACAGACAACGTAATCATATCAGGGCATATTGAAGATGAGTTCAGCAATCTTGAAATACTATGTGAGTATCTTATAAATGCCAGGAAAAATTAATGTGACGTGTAGATGTGACCAGGAATAGTGCTAACTGCTGTGTCTTGAGCTATCGTCATTCCTATGCAAACTAGAGATTGATTCGCCGATAAACAAAGGAATTTGGCAAGAATGATTGTGATAATGATTGGCAATTTAACATCACAATGCTAATGTTAATAAACACCAATTAGCTGCCACTATTAACATCTTTACCTTGGGCATAAAATTTTTGCATTTCAGACCAGAGAATGAATGAGATTCAGTGTTTACATGATATCCATATTCATATGTCTTCTCATGCACAGCTGTTAAACAAAGAAATGATACTCAAGGGAATGACACATGGTCTGAAAATTCTTTTGGAAAATCAAGGTTATTTCATTTTAATTTATATTAAGTATTCTTTTGTCAGTATGGAATGAAGAGGAAGATAACTACTATGTACACCATGATATTCTGATGGATTCATTCCCATTAGCATTGGAATGGATTGATTTTGATCCTGACGGCAGTCCAAATCCAGGTAGGTATTTTGATTTTTAGTTATTTATCTAGGATATACAGTAATGTTTCCCCATTTCAGACCATGTG